CCACCTGCAACTCCAATTCCAGGGATCTGATGTCCTCTTCTAGTCTCTGTGGGCACCCACACTTGAGGACACAAACCCACACACAGACACACACACATACACTTGTTAACTTCAAATATATATTGTTTAAAAATGAAAGTCAAGTAAAAATACTCCAAAATAAACAAAAACCAAATCCACTACTAGCCAACCCACCTCACAAGAAATGGCGAAGGATATCCTCCAGTCTGACAAAGGTGGCCTCAAAAGAGAACTCAACCCGAAAGGAGCACTAGAGTAATTATGCAACTATAACAGACACTATAAATCTACTGTTTCTCTTTTTTTATTAACTGATTTTAACTTAACTATATAAAAATAATAGACAGACGTAATGTATCGCTGAGTCTCTAAGATTGGGAAAGCCGTGAATAATTGCCAACAACAGCACAGGGGAGGTGAGTGGTAATAAAACTTCCACAGGCCAAGGAAGTAAAGACAGATGGCAAAAATGTAATTACAACAATGCACAATGGCAGACGTGAGATCATCATTACAGCACGTTGTTGAGTTTGGAGCATTAATAGATATGTAAATGTGTGTAACAGTAACAGCAGGAGAAAGGGGTAAAGGAAACAGAGGTACCGAGGAGCAGCATTTCTTCATTGTAATTGTGTACATGTGAGCACATGTTGGAGGAAGGGCACATGTGTGGAGCTAGTTCTCTCCTCCCACCTCTATCTGGGCTCCAGGGATTGAATTCAGCCCACCAGGCTTGTGTGGCAAGGCCTTTTTACCCGCTGAGCCATTTGAGCGCCCAAGGAGTAACATTTCTATATGGGATTAGAATTAAGATAATTAAGTCTAAAGCTGATTTTGATAAGCTAAAAAAACTAAAAATAACATTAAAAATTAATTTTAAATTCTACATTAGAATCTAACAGCCAGGCAGTGGTGACACAGAGCCAGGGTTACACAGAGAAAAACAAATTTGAGAAAAGTAGAGGGAAAAGACGACATGAAATACGAAAAACACAACAATAGAATAAATCTAACTACATCAACAATAACATTAGAAATGAATGGACCAACAAATCAATTAAAAAGTGATTGAAATGAAGGAAAAAAGATCTAATCACATTCTGTCTTCAGGAGACCTACTGTAGCTTCAAAGTCACACCCAGATAAATAAAACAATGAAATAATAATGTATAATGGTGACTAGGAGGCAGTGACAAGTGAATCTCTGAGTCTGAGGCCAGCCTGGTCCACAGAGCAAGTTCTAGGACAGCCAGGGCCACACAGAGAAACCACATCTTGAAAATAAATAAAAGAATGAATAATGATTCAGCCACTTTGACAGTGGACATTCCTATAAAGAAACATCACTAGATATAGGTAGGATGGCTCAGTGAGTAAGGTGTTTGCTCTGTAAGCCTGGGGACCTGAGTTTGGATCCCCAAACCCACATAAAAGTCAGGCATTGTAATAGTGCCTTTAACACCAACATTGGAGGTGAATGGATCCTTGAGACTTGCTGGCCAACCAGACGAGCCAAAACAGGGTCTGTGAAGGACCCTGACTCAAAAAATAGGTAGAGAGTACCGGCTTAGTAGTTAAGAGTATTAGAGCATTACTGCACATCCAGAGACTCAGAATCACATTCCTAACACCCATGTGAGGGGGCTCACAGTCACCTGTAACTCCAGCTTCCAAGGAGCCAACAGCCTCTTCCAGCCTTAAGAGGCACCTGCAAGCATGTGCACATATACCCACAGAGACACATAAATAAAAATAAATTTTAAAAAAAAGGTGGAGATTAGTGGCTGAAGATACAGACATCGACCTCTGCCCTATACACGCACCTGCACACATACACACACACCCACACACACACACACACACACACACAGACAAACACCATTCATCTGAAAAAAAAAAAAATGAAGGGTTGATCTATGCCACATCACTGTTGGCCCTTGAAAGCATGCTAATTTGAAAAAGGACAGTCACAAAAGACTATACATTACACAATTCCATTGTGCAGAAGTTCTGATAAGGGAAATCTGTAGACAGAAAGGAAGTAGATGAGTGATAGCCTAGGGTAGGGAAGAGAGGTCCAGTGACAACAGCTAAAGGGTACAGAACCCATGGCCTCGTGCATATTGGGCAAATCCTCCATCACTCAGCACCCCACCCCAGCAGAGTAATGGATGTACCTACGTATCTGTATGTAGACAACCCCCCTTAGAAAATGAATTGTTTGTAAATACTTTCAGTGGATGAATTGTTTAACATGTAAACTATAACTCAATAAGGCTGTTTTAAATTTTTCCACATTCATTCTTGCTGAAGCAACCATATTAGCAGACAACGTGTGTCAGAGTTGTGATGAGCATGTGTCCTGAGTCAGGCGTGTGGACACAGATTCATCCCCATGCAGGGATGTGTGAGGCTTACTTGGTTTTCCTGTCTCTGTACTGTGTTTGACCGTGAAGAAAGTTGAATGGCATCCTATTCACACCAGCACGTCACACACTGAACTGTTCTGGTCCCATTCTCCCAATACCTGCCTACAACTTTCCCAGCCTGACCATTCCATGTACCTGGAATTCTCTCTCATTTTTATGTGGGAATCCAGTATGCCCTGATGAACTGGCTCCCTGCCCTGAATCCCAGCTTCCTCAACCTATGTCAATTTCATGGGCTAGCTAGCTCTGATTCTTCCAAGTAGTGAACACAGACTACACCAAACTTAAGATGTACACTGTGGCTGGGCAGTGGTGGCGCATGCCTTTAATTGCATCACTTGGGAGGCAGAGGCAGGTGGATTTCTGTGAGTTTGAGACCAGCCTGGTCTACAAGAGCTAGTTCCAGGACAGGTTCCAAAGCTACACAGAGAAACCTGTCTTGAAAAAAAAAAATGTACACTATGTTTTCCAATGCCAGCTTGAGCCAACCTCGGAACCCCATGTGCCTGTCAAAAATAAGCAGCTCCTAATTACAGAGCATGCATGCTCTATTCTCTTTCAGGTCTGCACCTGATATGCCCCACTTCCTGGCCTGGCTTTTAACATTCTACCTACTCTATAGGGCACCATGGAGAATCATGAGCCTCTGCTCCCACTCTCCTGGGGAGTGGACCTACAGCTACGAACATCAACCCCAATCGACTCTACTACAGAATGAATGCATGGCCTTGACAAGTGTCACAAGCACTCTGCCTTGATTTCTCCAACTACAGAACAGAGACAGCAACGTTCCTGGGAATGATGAGGATTAAGTGACTAATAGACCTGCAACAGGACAAGCACCATTATTGCTTCTGTCTCCATTAGCTGACAATTCCATCATTTGTTGACATTCATCTTTCCTGCCAGTCTCTGCTCAGTGTCTCTCTTCATTTTCATGGCTTGTAATAGAGCGCTAGGCACAGGACAGGTATATGTAGGGGACCGTACATACTGAAGTATGTAAGGACATGCATTCCTTCAGCAAGAGTGAAGGGAAAAATATGCTTCAGTTAGTCCAGTAGTGTTAAAGATTTTAGAAATAATGCATTCAAAACAAAAAACAGAGAACGTGGTTCCTGGAAATACAAAATGGAATAGGTGGTATTGGGTCAGCCCTGGGAAATCCAGGCTGTCTCACTGACTGAACTCTCTAGAAAGAACCCAACACCCAACAGTTAGAATGGTTACATAAATGATAGCAATCAACACAGGGGATTTTACACAAGCAAACAGAAGGCCTGGGCTGATCCCTGCACCTGAACACAACACAAAGAAGAAAAATGTGGGGAAGACCGCAGAGCCCTTCAGAGAGAAAACAGTCAAGAGAACTGACTGCACACAGTACTGCATGGCGAAGGTGCCTCTACCTACCCAGTTCCTCTCCAAGCTAAAGATAATCATATAATCATAAATTATAATTGATGCAGCTTTAAAAAAAGAAAAACACACTAGTAATGCTGCTAATGCCTTTACCTAAGAAACGAGATCAAAAGCAGAGATTCTAAAACAAGACACAGTGGGAAGAGCTGAGTTTCTGTATTACTCAAACTCTCTGAATAGGTAAGTTTCCTGATAAGAAAAGAAAAAACCCAAGTATTTTTGTTATGGTCAATTTTCTCAACAGTGAGTCCTTTGTTTTATGTCAAGAACAATCATCACTTTGACTCAAGAACCTTCCTAATTAAGTCCTTTCATTAGGTGCAATCAAAAAGACAAGGAAGCCAGAGAACAGATTCAAGGCATGAGGGTGCTTGCCCTCAAACCTAATGACCTGAGTTCAATACCTAGGACCCATGGTGGAAGGATACCAATGTATTTTTTTTTTAATTAAGCTGAAACCTAAAAAGTATACCCAAAGAAGTTGCCCTTTAGCAAATTTTTCACCCATATCTCCCCCTAGTGCCCTCTAAAATAGAAGGCAACTCAGAGAAAAACAGAAAGTAGGAAAAGAATGCCAGCCTTGCCCACAGCATGAAGCATGAGCTTCTCATGTCCATCTACTTATTTGCGCACAAACAGATTCACATAGCTACAAGTCAAATGTGTATAAATGTGTATATCCCCAGAGAGATATGTATCACTAACAAAGGTATATAGATACAGCAGAAAAAATATTAGCCATAAAACGATCTTCTCAATTGTCTTCACAGGTCAGTAAGAATGTCAACAGAAGCTTTCAAATACCCCAGGTGATAAAGACAGCTCTAACAATAAATACAAAGCCACCTCAACACTTCCAATCTTCCTACTATCAAAATCTCTTAAACCAATGACACAAAAGAAGAAAAGAAGAAAAAAATAAACAGCTGGGTGTTGGTGGTGCATGCCAAGGACAGTTTCATTTTTGTAAAAAAAAAAAAAAAAAAAAAAAAAAAAAAAAAAAAAAGAAGCCACCAGAAGAATGCAACATGCAGGCTTAGCTATTTCACCAAAGCATTTCCACTCTGCTCACCATTTTGGCACAGACCACGCTGTTACCCACCATCATTCCAGGGACCTCCTCCTTACCTTTCCCATTTTGCCATGTGGTATACCAGGACAGAGTGAGGAACGAGGTGACAAATGCTAACACAGTGGCTACAGTTCCATTTCGGAGCCTCATCTCATTTCACCATCACACTGGTTCATACGTTGGTGATGACAAGCAAGACCAATCTCTCTCTTCAGCCACAAGTCAACAGAATCCAGAATGCCTGGCTCTAGTCCAAAATCAACGATTGATGAGCAAGGTTCGTTTCAGATGCCAGGCAGAAGGTGTCAGGCAGCAAGCAACACAGTGGATACTGCTAGTCCAGATTGTCTTCGCAGTGTTCACAGGCTGAGGGTGTCTTCTTTTTCTTCTTCCTGTCAGGTAGAGAAGAGAAAGGAAAACTTGCTAAATAATGCAAAGCAGAGGTTTCCTCTTTTATTATTCAGCATTAGAAGCAGACTTTTGTCAAGGCTGAACTGTATCTGTGCAGACCACCCCCATATAAAAACTATTCATTTCTTATAGCAGAATTGTAAGGGTCTTTTCCCTTCAAGGAGAAAAGCTACAAACTGGTTGGTTCTGTCTGTGGGAAAAAAAAAATTATGGTTGCTCATTTAAAGGGAGAAGTTGTAGGGTTGACAGATTCCCAAAGAGACCTCTTAACAACTGAGCCTCGAGGTTCACACACCCCAGTTATTATTCTGCTGCATACTAACAAGTAATGATTACAAAACAAGTAAAACAGAAGAATGCATGACTATAATGATTTGAAAAGTCAAAATACTTGGATCCCAGATCCAGCTCTGGCATTACACACATGCACTGACCCCCACCCCCTACCCTCTAT